CTATTATTTCTGTTGAACTCATCATCTTCTTTCAATTACAATATATTTTTCCTTGTGGCCCTTTCGTTATAAGACTGATTAATATAGAGCTTAGTCTGCGCTGTTTGAGACTTCAAGTTGTTGTACGTGTGTACGTAGGCGTTGTAAACAACCTCTCTATTCAAATAATCTCAAAACAAGTGGATAATTGTCATTATAAGGATCGTAAAAAACAATATTTTGTGATCACTGTAAAAAAGATTGCATTGCCAATTACAGTTTAGGTGCAGATAATATTGTCATCCCTAGAAATAAAATGTGGACTAAGACACATATGTCAGCGAAACGTTTTCGGTATGAACACATGCACTTATTATCTGGCTTTAAATTCAAAGCATTATTTCTGAAACGTACTAATTGGCCGTAGAATTCGAACCCCATAAGCTTTCCAGGAACATAGGAAAGGATGGTCGATACCAGGAGTGATTTATAATTATTCCGAAAGAGGTGAGCTGTTCACAAAAACATATTAGATGCGGACTATATTTGCTTAGCTGCAATGGATTAAACAATACATCAATTGAATGCAAAATGCCTCGAAACCAGCTTGACTTTTGGTATTTCTAGACGATGATTGTATCGCATTCCATTCATTTTATGACATGAGTTTAGTTTCAATGCTATTCCAATTCTAAAGATTGTTGATAATAAATATCCCCATATACTTTAATTATCTCTAATTAATTTAATTTACCCATTTATGTGTTTTTGTCATATTTTGATTACAATGTTTGGCTTAATCTGTGATTTGTTATCGTTCATAGCAGTCGTTTCCAAGATTGATTTATAAATGCTAGTCATGCTGGTTTCTTGCTGCTTTTTGTATTGCTGAATAAATAAATGAATGAAGAAATAAATAAATAAATAAATAAATAAATGAATTACGAACGTGTTAATAAACATACATTATTTCAGCACTCTTCCGCATTTTGAGTACGTGTATTTAATGTAAATCGTTTGCCTCAAACTCTCGCATCGGCTCGCTAGAAATTGAGTATTCAGATATTTTGAAAAGTTATTTCCCACAAAGAATGCACGAACAATAGTGGGTTTTTTTTTGTTGTTTTTTTTTAAAAAATCCTTTAACAATATAATTTTGCTGATAGTTCGTTTATCGCATTTGAGTCAACCTCCATTTATCAATTAAAGATCATATTTATCCATGAAGAAAGATAGGGCTTAGAATATAATAATGACTACATGAAGAGTTATAACGGACATCGCAGCTTTGTCACTGAAATATTACAGTGATAGTATGACCATGTTATAATGATTGCCCTTCCCTTGATTGACGGGATATATGTGACCTCCACCAGATGGCCGAGAATACGACATTTATGTTGTTTTCCGTTCGACTGCTTAGAGAACATATATGTCCGCTGTATGTGTCAGGCATACATCGTGTAGATTTCGTGGTACTTTTTCTGGCAAATAAACTACTCATATTGCTTGTTTTCACTTTAAAAATGGAGTAAGCTGTACATATGAACACATATATCAATCTGTTTCTAATTTAAATTAGAGATAAATGCACCACTTGCAGAATTTAAAAAAAAAATCAAAGGAAAAAGAAGAAAAAGGGGATGAAGATTTTAAGATTCATACGTTTCCTAGATATCTTAAAATAAGAACAACCAAACCTGTATATATTTGATTAATTGTTTTGTGCGAGGTTTTATTGCCCTTGAGAATGCATAAACTCGACAAGATTGTGGGACATAATTCATAAACATGAGGTTGCTATGTTCGAATAATTCTAACAACAAATATATAGAAATTCATGTGTGGTGATTAATAAAAACAAAACAACACCCCCTCCCACTTCCATGCGAGCTGGCGCTAACACGAATAAACTGCTGCTCCATTTTTATGTAATGATGTATTTTTACTCAGCATGCGTCTTTTCACTTAATAAGCCAATAAAAGTTTGCTCATTTAATATTTTCAGGTAGAAAAATTCAAAAAATTATCTTCCGCTGTTTCTTTTATGATCAAATATTTGCCTTAATCAACTTCCTTACCCGAATTGTTGTAAACAAAATCTCTTTAAAAAAAAAAACGTTTGTTTTGTTGCAAATATCGTCTGTGTTTTTATTCTCTTCCGAAATATATCTAAGTCAGTCATAAGTCCTGAGAGGAGTCCTTTTTTGAGACATTATGGCATAAGAGAGAGAGAGAGAGAGAGAGAGAGAGAGAGAGAGAGAGAGAGAGAGAGAGAGAGAGAGAGAGAGAGAGAGAGAGAGAGAGAGAGAGAGAGAGAGAGAGAGAGAGAGAGAGAGAGAGAGAGAGAGAGAGAGAGAGAGAGAGAGAGAGAGAGAGAGAGAGAGAGAGAGAGAGAGAGAGAGAGAGAGAGAGAGAGAGAGAGAGAGAGAGAGAGAGAGAGAGAGAGAGAGAGAGAGAGAGAGAGAGAGAGAGAGAGAGAGAGAGAGAGAGAGAGATTAACTATTTTCCGAAAACAATACGTCTGTCGATTTCCATGAATTGTATAAACACGCAATCCAAAAAATGGTAAAATTAAAATACATTTGAAATTAAAAGTTTCTTTTCACAATTTTTATGATGACGATGACGATGATGGTGGTGGTAGTAGTGATGGTGATTATTATTATTATTATTATTATTATTATTATTATTATTATTATTATTATTATTATTATTATTATTATTAAAAACGATGGTACCATTATACTTGATGACCAATCATTGTGGAATATTTTTGTTGATTTGAAAAACAGGAACTCGTTGATTTTAAAAATAGGAAGCTATTGTACATTAAATATTAAATCTAGCTTTAACAAGTTTTTAGTTCATTTGCAACGATGTCTGCAGTATGTCAATTGTTAGTAATGTCTATCACTCAGGCATTATGCCAAAGACACGTGGCATCATGTTTCACCCAGTCACATTATCCTGATGCAAGGCCGGCCAGTCCTAACCCTAACATCTTAATGCTGAGCGCCAAGCGAAGCAGCTGTTAGTACCATTTTTATATAAGTTTTTGGTATGACTCGGCCAGGTTTGAACCTGCAACCTCTCTTACCCAAGACGAACATTCTAATCACTTAGGATACCAAACAGCAGACAAAATAAACAACTAAAAAAATCGAATGATTTCCTTCACCTTTTTTTTTAGTGAAATTTAAGATATTTTCTTAAACGTGACATGAAGCCTTTGGCGTGATCAGCTGCTACTGATATTATTGGTTGGACCATGAAGCAGGTACTCTTCTGGCATATTGATGTTTTGCTTTATTTTGTGGCATTTTCTCTCAGTTATCGAAGGACATGTTATGAACATTAGACACCATCATTGTTCCGACTTGTTGATGTTTTGCGTTATTTACTCCCAGCTGTGGAAATACATGTTATGAACATTAGACACTAGCACTAGTCGGACTTGTTTATGTTTTGCGTTATATTTGGTATTTGATCCCAGCTGAAAGAGACATGCTATCACTGTAGCTGGATATTATTAATCTGATGACGTCTCAATAATTGAATGTTTTAGATCATCACTTGTATATGGGTAACTACGTTCTCCGTTCCAAATCTAAATGTTTTAGATAATGACTTTATGTAGGTTACTACGTTATCCGTTTCAAATCCGAATGTTTTAAATCATTTCTTGTATATACACGGCTACATTCTTCATTCCTTAACGTAGAGGCTACGGCTACATTCTTCATTATTTAATATATTAGACATTGACTTTTATAAAGGTAGCTACGAATTCTATACGGATAGCCACGTTCTCCATTACTTAATGTATGAGATCACGACTTCTATATGTGTAGATACGTCTTCCATTACTTAATCTACGAGATCACGACTTCTATACGGGTAGATAAGTTCTCCATTACTTAATATAGACATCACGACTTCTATATGTGTAGATACGTTCTCCATTAATTAATGTATGAGATCACGACTTCTATATGTATAGATACGTTCTCCATTAATTAATGTATGAGATCACGACTTCTATATGTATAGATACGTCCTCCATTACTTAATCTACGAGATCACGACTTTTATACGGGTAGATAAGTTCTCCATTACTTACTGTATCAGATCAAGACTTTAATATGTGTAGAAATGTTAAGGGCCGTAAAGAGCGATCAGGGGCCCTAGCGTAAAAAAAAAAAAGAAAAACATCTGGGCCTCTCCTAGTTCTTGTTCAAACAAAATTTGTCTCTTATAAAATTAAAAGTGTTGTTACGAGCCCGGACTCCGGCCCCGGGGATATATTCCCGGTTGTTCTCCCTCCTTGTCGGCCCAAGCTACATTTTCCATTACTTAATGTATTTGCATTATGTTCATGGTTATATTCAACTATTAGTTAGATTAAATAACAACGCCATGAAATGGTTGAAAGAACAGGACAATCATCTAATGACCACAATGAGAGTGTGTGATTTAGATTATTAAAGGAGCTTTAACAATTTTTCAGTCATATCGCTACGATGTATGCAGTGTGACAGTTTATAGTGATGTCTTGCACCAGGGCATCATGCCGCTGACACGTGGAATCATGTCCCAACTAGCAACATTATCCTGACACCAGACCGACCAGTCCTAAAACTAACACGTTAATGCTGAGCGCCAAGCGAGACAGCTGTTAGTACCATTTTTCTAATTCTTTGGTGTGACTCGGCCGGGGTTTGAACCCGCGACGTCCCGCATCGCTAGGTCACCGGAGTGGTGTTGACCATAATGATATGTTGGACAGTCTTATGATGAATGATGAACATAATGATATGTTGGTACTAAAAAGAATAGTATCTTTTCGATGCTTTTGCTATGGAATCCTACTGTTCTTTCCTAAATCTGCAAAGGGTATAGATATCAATACTGATGTTAGTGTCATATCTAACAACAACGAAAAGTGTCTAACTTCAATAGAAATACATTTTATAAGAATATGTACTATACATTTGATGATACTTCTAATAATGAAGCCTGACCGCTTTTTGGCCTAGAGGTTAGAGAGACCGCCTCGGATGCGGCATGTCGCGGGTTTGAACCCCGGCTGAGTCATACCAAAGAATATAAAAATTATACTAACAGCTGCCTTGCAAGGCGCTCAGCATTAAGAGGTTAGTGTTATTACTAGTCAGCCTGATGTCAGAATAATGTGATTGGGGGGAATGTCATGCTACATGTATGCGGCATGATTTCCCAGTGCAAGACATCATAATAAACTGCCACACTGCAGACAACGTAGCAAGATGACTGATCGATTTTTAAAGCTACGTTAAAAATATAAAATCACACACACACACACACACACACACACACACATACATACACACTGAAGCCAAGACAAATAAAATCTTTTAAATAGCTATATACAGATTCGACTTCACGCTACGTGTATCTAGCGAATAACAAATATGGAATAGAATAGATGAGCAATTCATGTCTTCACCCATGAGAAATATATCCATTCTCCCCTTAGAAAAAGAAAATTTTCTTTTCATTTTATGCTAAAACGTCTTGGCTAGCCAAAGTTTGTAATATATTAAAAAAGTAGATTTCTTAGGGTAATATCAGCTAATTACCTTGCATGTGTATCCGTGTTTTATGAATATTCACACTGCATATATGAACATTATTATCTACCGTTCTTAAAGGTAAAAGAGTGGATTGTAGGATTCGAACCTAGTACACCTGCAAGACATGTTTTTATACTTACCATTAGTCCAACCTGTTGCGAACAGAGGAGATGAAATTTTGGTCATAATGTTGTCGATGTCAAGAGACTCAAGAAAAAATTATTTCATTTGGAAAATGCACTCACTTAATATATATATATATATATATATATATATATATATATATATATATATATATATATATATATATATGGCAATAATATAAAATCTTTACACCTAACGAGTGTACCCTAATATCGATTGTCAATTAAATTTAGCTTGCCGTTGTCCCAAACAGTACCTGACTTCTCTAGTGTTTTTAGGTTTTTAGAATGTTTGATGGCAGTTCAATTTGCTGCTTAAGATTTTTTAGTGTCGTAGAGTTTAACAGTAAGAAATTGCACGTAGGTTCAATTACTAACAGTTTGCGTAATTCTTCTAGAAAACTAATTATCACCAAGCCTTGAAGCCATCTTTTTAGTTTCTGAGGTTCATTTTTAGGCATTTGTGACGGCGCTTTTTCGTCAAGTACATACATATATTGTAAGGGACACAACTGTATATCTATTCATTGCGTGTGTGTGTGTGTGTGTGTTTGTGTGTGTGTGTGTGTGTGAGAGAGAGAGAGAGAGAGAGAGAGAGAGAGAGAGAATGCAAAAAGAAGAAAAAGTAAAATATGCATATATGCATAAGTATTGAATTATAGGTCTGAGAAAAAGCATAAGGGCATATATGCATATATATATATATATATATATATATATATATATATATATATATATATATATATATATATATATATATATATATATATATATATATTTCCTAAATGAAAAAGTAGAAACATTGTTCCAATGCTCCAATAGTGTTATATATATATATATATATATATATATATATATATATATATATATATATATATATATATATATATATATATATATATATATATATATATATATATGTGTGTGTGTTTGTGTGTGTGTTTGTGTGTGTGTGTGTGTGTCTGTGTATAGATATGACTGAAAAATTGGTTAAAAATACTTTCAAAAACATAATTACATCACACATCCCTTTCCTTAAGTGAGATGATATTGATAGCATTTGAGCATTGATGATGTCATGTTATGTATTTCGATTACAGTTTTATTTCAATCTATGTTTAGTTACAGAATTCGAAGACGAAGAAAACTTATCCTAGACTAAATGTTACTTTGTTCATTAGCAACGCAGTCTCAATCAGCGTTTAAATTCTTGCATATTAGAACGAAATATATATTAAAGCAAAATTTTAATGAATCTTTTTCCGAATTAAAATTTGTCCTCTCTTTAATAAAATCATGATTGGAAAAGTATCATGACTAATATGTATAAAATGTAAATGTTAATAAAATAATAATTTTACTCTAAAGATTCGTCCATGAAATTCCGGTCGTATGGTAACTGTTACAATTGTACTGAATTGCATGTGCCGCATTTTGGCCTATACAGTCTAGTATTAAACATCTCTATTTTGCCCTGAAATAATAAACACAGTATGAAAATAGTGTAACTTACCTGTTGAAGTTGGATTGTTGGATAGTCCACGAATGCTGTCGAATCTGTAACAATCAATGCCAGTATATAATTTTATCACCTGTCCACGTGAGTGGAATTCTGAAAACTCTCCTTAATTCTAATTGGCTGCTTCAAAATTGATTGGGCTTGTATAGTTTGTATCTCTTATCAGTGCAAAATGCTTTTCAACTGACAAAAATACTTCATGACAAGTTTAATGATAAAAGGCTATTGTTTATCAGTTGTGACGGACAAGGTCATCAATGTACTTGATATCATTCTACTAGATGTATAATTTATTTATTGGAATTAAGAACTAAAACAAAACAATCTTATTAAAATAAAGTCTACAATTTTGTTTGGCTAAAAATGGACTTCTTTATATTCTATGGTCTTGTATCGTAATCAATACCCTCGTACTTTGCGTGAAAATCAACACCTCGTAATGACCCATGGACTTGCATGGTAATACAACGGCTCAAAATGTGTCAGATAAATCAGCCTTCCACAACATATGTTGATAATGATGGACGATTTGAAGGTATAATGTCACCTATTCATAAAATCAAGCAACGTTTGCCGACAGATCTGTCCGCAACACATCTGTGTATACTTTAGAAACCTACCAGAAATACTTGCCTTTATCTGCCGTCGGATGAACGGTCTTTTTGGAAAAAAGTGCAGAAAATTTGCGGATCAAATCCTGTTTTACGTCTTGTAAATACAAATAGCCATTACGAAATACTAGTAAGTGTATAATCTGTATGTTGGTGTGTTCTGGACAGATTTTGTACAGCAAAGTTGCATATTGTAATGAACAGGTGACATGAGATCATCAAATAGTCAGTTAATATATAAATGTGTTTGTGGAGCTGATTTATCGGACTACATCAAAACGATCTGAGGACATGCATGCAAAACAGCTCTCTCGAAATGAACTATGGACTTCAATGATTATCAACATTCTTGAAAAGACCCATGGACTTAAACGGTAAGCAACATGCTGCCTTAGGGCCATAGCAGTCTAGCCAGATTCTAATTGATTCCAATAGCTCAACTTGCCCACCGGCAGTTTGTGTTCATGATGGCTAGAAAATTTCCATATGGACGTTGTATGACTCTTTAGTAAGCAATATTTGCTTTACAATCACGGCTTTACTTATGGAGAGTAAGCGAGTAAACGGAGCGTACATGTAAAATTGTTTTAAAATTGAAGGCGGTGCAACCGAATATGAAAGTTCCATGTTATTTACGCGGACATTGAGTGCTTGGAGATTCCATTGGAAGCAGCGGTTGAAAAAAATTAAATACTGCGCAAGTTGCTGAATAATTCCAATGCGGGGTTGGTTTGTTAACTGTCAGGTGCTATGTAGCAAAGCTGGCATTGTTGTACAGAGGCAAAGAATCGGTTGAGACGTTTATTAAATCAACTGAGGTTACAGCAGAACGGATTCAAGCACAACGTTCCTCGCTCGTCGACATTATTATGACTCATAATGACATTTGGGAGTTTCCCGCGGAGACTAATTATTGGATCCTTCATGACCAGTTTTTCACCGAAGACCACTTGCAGAAATGTTCAAAAAGTGCGCTACCACTGCAATATGTCTGTGGCGTACATAAAAGCCGTACACCACACACGCAACTTGCAGTTGCAACTGAATCACCGCAAAATAAGAATTTCGATTTTGCCTCATATGATGCAAGTAATCGGAACGGCATATAATGCATCAATTAGTGCTATCTCCAACACAAATGGAAAAATATCACGTCCAGGTTGACTCTTTTGAAGTTTATTGGCTCCATTAGCTGCTGAGTCTCAATTCCAGCCTCGATAATTCGTCAATATCCTTGATTTACAGTTAGTCGTCGATACGGTGTCTCTGATGACGGAGCCTTCAGCTTTCTCACCCGTAAAGGAATTTACCTGTTGGAGTACAGGACGAATCGAACAACGATTTCTGAAAATCAGTTGCCAAAGATTGAGGCGTTTCATTCATAGTTATCACGCGAAAGCATTTCCATACTCGCTCGCGAACAATGTCCAGTCCGTGTTTTATTGTTAAAATCTCAGTGACTACGACGGTCTGTATTTGCATACGCGTGTTGCTGCTGGTGGATGTCTTTGAGGCTTTTCACGCACTACTTCTCATCACCGGGAAGAGTTTGAGATGTTTTGCTGTCGAAATCACGCTCTGAGTTGGAATTCTTAAAATACATCAATCAATATTTGCTCTTAGATTGTGGAAACCGGGGTGAAATTGTCGATGATGCAACCAATGCACATAGACGAGTTTGTAGGGGTCAAATCCAGTGGATGTACACGAGTACGACAGCAACAGAGACGTTGGTTTCTTCTTTGAAGTCGACATGGAATACTCATGCGAAGTGCTATCGGTGTCCCGCCCGCCCGTAGTTGTCCCCGCAAATGAAATGGCTCATGAGTAGTAAGCTCGTCGAATGCACCATGCCAGTTACTACTCTGGCCGGAAACTAAACTAAGTCGTCCACGTACGAAACTTGCCGTTTTATCTAAGGTTGGTAATGCGAATTCAGTGAGTGCTCCAGTTTCAATATCGCACATGTGTGGCTTCGTATATTCAGATGAATACGGATCTGCAAAATGCCGCCATAAAAAAATTTGAAAAAAAAACTTCTTCAAGCTGTTGATAAATGTGATATTCAGGAAATCCATATTAAATCTACGGAGAGAGAATTCGTGTTAACTTTGTCCAGGACAAGAATCAAGACAAACTTCGCAGATTTGCCGAGTCACACTAGATATTCGACTGTGGACTCGTTGTCGTACATAGTAATACAATCAAA